CTGAATTTAGGAAAAATAAATGGGGAGACTGCTAAGCAGTTAGAGGTACAATAAAGTAGAAAAATCTCTCTTAACTATATACTCACATTTTAATTCCATCATCAAATGATGTGTTTCTAAAGAGATGCACTTTAAGAATTACTGTTTCTCAGCTTCTTCCAGCAGTCTTCATTCCCCTATATCTTTCAAGTATATTTCACAGCTGCTTTAAACATGCAAATACTCTCCTTGAGTCGACCTTTTCATTTTATAACAGAGCAATAAGGCTACACGACAATGTGCTTTTAGAGTATGTTTTCTTTCTAGGGATATCACAACAAAGGATATATGAATAGTCCCTCTTCTCACAGAACTTCTTAGTATGGCCTGACCTCTTAAAACATATGATAAAGGCTAATGCAGATGTGTGTAAAGACAAGTAGACAGACACTGAGTGAACAGAATTTGTACCTTCACTCACAGGAAAATGCTGAAATAACTTTCACAATTTGAAAATATTACTGCAGCTATAATCATTAGTACTCTCTTGGTCTGTAAGTAGGACGGATTAGCTTCTCCAATGGTGATTACCTTCCTGAATCTTGTCCTGCATCTGTTGAGTTTTTTTTAAGATATGTTGTTTCCTGAGACAATTAAGAACTGGATATGAAGAACTGACACAGAAATCTAGAACATAAAAATGAACTATTTCAGACACACAAATGAAAGAGACAGCATAAAATTACAGAATCTATTTAAACAAGCTGTCAGCCTAAAGACAAATGAACTTATTACATTTCAATAATCACATCTGGCATCTCTTCTTAATTGCACCTGGGAAGGCAAAACAAGATGCAGCTGCTCCTGGCTAGATGGCAATGACATAGAGACTAGTGACAAAATTTCCCAAATATGACCTTCTTTCCCAAGCGCTGGGTGCCAGAAGTGCAGCCCAAGGAAGTGAATACTTTTGCTTGATTGATTTTTTATTTTTTTTTTCATCACAATGTTTGGTTTTTTTTTCTGAGCAAACCAGGCAGGGTAAAAAAAGACATCACTGGCAGCTTTTTAAGAGGTCCTCATTTGTTAGGTGTCACTAATTTAATTCCTGTTCATATTTCTGTGCCCTCAAGCAAGCAGGTGATAAGGTTCTGGAGTAAAAAGAACTGGATATCACTTCATTACAGTCCAGTAATAGGCTCATTAAATATCAAATCGATCTGTTAATGACTTAGCCCCCTCAATATCTTTGTAAGGGGTTGTTCATTATTCTTTTTTCCTCAGATGAGCAAAATGAGAACTAAGGAGTTGAAGTATATTTCCAGGCACATGCTCCAATGAGATCCCTGTGTGTTGCCAGGGTGTCTGAAGTACAATCCAACTGCTTCAAAAAGAGAGGTAGTTTTCAGCAGGGCTTTTGCTTGGAAACTTTAACTCCAGAAATAATTTTCTCATTCAGCCTTGAACTCCCTCAGTCTGCCAGTCTGACTGGCCTGTGCCAAACCTACCTGTCTCAGTGGGGCTTCAGAGAAGTGGTTGGGAACTCTTCTTCTGGAGATTTAAAGGGTATCAACCTCCTACTTGTTATTTGAATTTTAATTAGTTATAGTGTGGATGTGTTTGGAGAAAAATGCTATTCCTCAAGTGGAAGAGGAGAGTTTACAGGTCATGGAAGGAGGGGCTGGCCACTTGGGAGGAATATAAGGCTGCTGCTACAGGATGTAAGAAGACAGCTAGGAGGACTAAGGCACCCTTAGAATTAAACCTGGCGAGAAGGGTCAAGGACAGCAAAAAGAGCTTTTTCAAATTGTCCTGGGTTCAGCAGTAGCAGTCATTTTTCTCCTTCTTGGTAGCTGGTGCAGTGCTGTGTTTTGACTTTAGGCCTGGGAACAGAGCTGATAACAAGGATGTTTTGGTTTGGCCAAGGACTTTGTGAGCCTCATGCTCTGCCAGGGAGTAGGGGAAGCCAGGAGGAAGCAGAGACAGGACACCTGACCCAAACTGACCAAAGAGGTATTCCATACCACAGCACGTCATGCCCAGGATGTAACTGGGAGTTAGCCGGAAGGGCTGGGAGACTGCAGGGTTGGAGGAGGTATCGGTCGGAGCTTGGTCGGGCTTGGGGGGCGAGTTATCGGTCAGCTGGTGCTGAGGTGTTGTATTCTCTTCCCTTGTTATTTCCTTTATCATTATTGTTACTGATGGTAGCAGTAGTGATCTGTGTTATACCTTAGGTACTAAACTGTTCTTATCTTAACCCGTGGGAGTTGCATTCTTTTCGATTCTCCTCTCCGTCCCTCCGGGAGTAGGGGGAGGGAAAGAAGGGGGGGGGGGGGGGAGTGAACAAATTACCTGTCTGGGTTTAAATCACGACACAAATACATGGCAGACAAAACTAACACCAGAGGCAATGTAGGCCCACTGATGAACGGGATGGGTGCCCTGGTGACAGAAGATACAGAGATGGCAGAGTTACTGAATGCCTTCTTTGTCTCTGTCTACTCTGCTGCAGGCAGTCCTGAAGAGCCCTGTACCCCTGAGACCTCAGATGAAGTCAGGTCAACGGAGCGGTTTGCCTTGGTCGGTGAGGAATGGGTTAGAGACCAGTTGAGCAATCTGGACATCCATCAATCCATGGGTCCAGATGGGATGCACCCGCGGGTGCTGAGGGAACTGGCGGAAGTCATTGCTAGACCACTCTCCATCATCTTTACCAAGTCTTGGGAAACGGGAGAGGTGCCTGAGGACTGGAGGAAAGCAAATGTCACTCCAGTCTTCAAAAAGGGCAAGAAGGAGGACCCGGGTAACTATAGACCGGTCAGCCTCACCTCCATCCCTGGGAAAGTGATGGAACACCTTATCCTTGGTGCCATCTTAAGGCATATCAAGGATAAGAGGGTTATGAGGGGCAGTCAACATGGCTTCACCAGGGGAAAATCATGTTTGACCAATCTCTTAGCCTTTTATGAGGAAATAACACGGTGGATGGATGCTGGCAGAGCGGTGGATGTGGTCTACCTTGACTTCAGCAAAGCATTTGACAGTCTCCCACAGCATCCTCACAGCTAAATTGAGGAAGTGTGGACTGGATGATCAGGTAGTGAGGTGGACTGTGAACTGGCTGAAGGAGAGAAGCCAGAGAGTTGTAGTCTATGGGGCTGAGTCTAGTTGGAGGCCTGTAACCAGTGGAGTGCCTCAAGGGTCAGTACTGGGACCGGTATTATTTAATATATTCATCAATGATTTAGATGAGGGAATTGAGTGTACTATCAGCAAGTTTGCTGATGACACTAAGCTGGGAGGAGTGGCTGACACGCCAGAAGGCTGTGCTGCCATCCAGCGAGACCTGGACAGGCTGGAGAGTTGGGCAGGGAATAACTTGATGAAATATAACAAGGGAAAGTGTAGAGTCCTGCATCTGGGCAGGAACAACCCCAGGTTCCAGTATAGGTTGGGGAACGACCTGTTAGAGAGCAGTGTAGGGGAGAGGGACCTGGGGGTCCTAGTGGACGACAGGATGACCATGAGCCAACACTGTGCCCTTGTGGCCAAGAAGGCCAATGGCATCCTGGGGTGTATTAGAAGGGCGGTGGTTAGTAGGTCGAGAGAGGTCCTCCTTCCCCTCTACTCTGCCCTGGTGAGACCGCATCTGGAATATTGTGTCCAGTTCTGGGCCCCTCAGTTCAAGAAGGACAGGGAGCTGCTGGAGAGAGTCCAGCGCAGGGCAACGAAGATGATTAAGGGAGTGGAGCATCTCCCTTATGAGGAAAGACTGAGGGAGCTGGGTCTCTATAGTTTGGAGAAGAGGAGACTGAGGGGTGACCTTATTAGTGTCTATAAATATATAAAGGGGGAGTGTCACGAGGATGGAGCCGGGCTCTACTCAGTGGCAAACAATGATAGGACAAGGGGTAATGGGTACAAACTGGAACACAAGAGGTTCCACTTAAACTTGAGAAGAAACTTCTTCTCAGTGAGGGTGACGAACACTGGAACAGGATGCCCAGGGAGGTTGTGGAGTCTCCTTCCCTGGAGACATTCAAAACCCGCCTGGACACATTCCTGTGTAACATTATCTAGGTGTTCCTGCTCCGGCAGGGGGATTGGACTAGATGATCTTCTGAGGTCCCTTCCAATCTCTAGCATACTGTGATACTGTGAGGTCACTAGTACATCTCTGCAGGAGTGAGGAAATTCAGTGCCTGTGACACAGGAGGAGGAAAAGTGGAGGGAAAGTGAAGAAAGGCATGATAGTTGCATTACAAGTAATGTTTTCTTGGAATAAAAATATAAAAAAAAACAAACTACATTGAACAGGGAAAAAATAGCTAAGATTATGGATACAGTACTCATTTATATTGCAGAATAAGGAGGTTTACTTAGGAATAATGTATTTGTATGGCACAAATGGGGCAAAGGTGGCCTTAGCTGCTCTGATGAACCTTGATGTATGGAATAAAAATACCAAGAGCTATGCAGAAGTGAGCCAAGGAGAAAACTGACACCCAAATGAAGAAAGGACAAAGAGCAGTGAGCTGCAAGCTATGAGAGCAAGAGAAGGCTTAAGGCAATAAAAGGGCGTGAGAGGAAACCAAACTGTACCCCTGTGTCCCCACTGTGCAGCTGACAATGGCTGGAGAGCTGCAGCCTGTGCAGAGGCAATATGCACAGCCCAGAGACGGCACTTGTGCAGACCAACAGCTGGGTTAGCACAGCCATGACGGGGCTGCAGCGGGACAGGGGCATGAGCAGCTGACTGAGTTAAACCACACTGTGGCTGTGACATAGGCGCAGGAGGCTCTTTGCACTAGATCAGACACGAAGGCTTCGTACCGCTACTGTACCCGCGGCCCCACAACCAAGCCCCAGAGGAACCTCCTCCACCAACCACAGCTCCACCCTCTCCTACAAACACCCAACCCCACCTCCCGCTCCCCGCACGCAGGCACGCTCAGACCACGCATGCGCGCAGAGCACGCCGTGCTGCCGGCGGGATGGAGCGCGCGCGCGAGGGGACGCACATGCGCGGTGGGCGCGGCTTGCTGGCGCCGGAGGCAGCGCGCGGAGCCTGCGCCCGCGGGACGCGGAGCGGGCCCGGTGGTCGGCGCCCTGCGGGTCAGTCTCGGCGTCGCGCCCTCCTCCTCCGCCTCTTCTTCCTCCTCCTCGCCGCCGCAGCTGGCGCTGCTCGTGATGCAGCCGTGCGGCGGCGAGGAGGAGGCAGCGGCGGGGGGGGTGCTGCCTCTCCCGGTCGCCGACCCTTCGCTGCCGCCCTCCAGTAGCGGCGGCCTCATGTTATTCTATGAGCTGGGGGTGCCTGGCGAAGGCGAGGCCGAGGCCGAGGCCGGGGAGGAGGCCGAGGCGGCGGGCGGCGAGAGCACGGCCAGCCCAGAAGAGCTGGAGGAAGAGGAGGCGACGGCGGCGGCTTCGAGCTGCGAAACTGCGGCGGCACCGGCGGGCGGCAGCGGCTGCAAGAGCTGCACCTACCAAGGCTGCAGCGAGACCACCACGCAGGTGGTGAAGCAGCGCAAGCCCTGGATGTGCAAGCGCCACCGCAACAAGATCTACAAGGATAAGTACAAGCGCAAGAAGAGCGACCAGGCCCTTGGGGGCGGCGGGGCGGCCGCGGCGGGGGCCGGCCCGCGGGCCGAGGTGAGGCACCGGCGGCTGGTGGGGTGGGCGGCATGGGGCTTCCTGTGGAAAACTCGTTTTTTTAATGACCGGAGTCATAGAATCACAGATTGGTTTAGGTTGGAAGGGATCTTAGAGCTCTTCTAGTTCCAACCCCCTGCCATGGGCAGGGACACCTTCTACTAGATCTTAACCCTGTCCAAGTTCGCCTTGAACACTGCCAGGCATGGGCCATTTACCACTTCTTTGGGCGTTTGAAATGGGACCATCCCGTTCAGAGGAAAGGAAAGAAATCTAGTGAACTCCTAGAGCTCGCTCCTATTTCTCCAACACTGGTTCTTTTCTCTTACCTGATACAAACTGCAGCAACTTGCAACTAGATAAGATTCTAGGAAAGAAGACCTTGCCGAAAGATGCTTTGCTGTGCAGTGTGTGTTTATTTCACTGGATGGGAGATGGAAGTATAGATCTGAGAGAGATGTCAGGCGTCTTGCCCAGTTGGTACTGAAAGATGGGGGTTTACATTCAAAAAGGCCATTTGGTATTACATTATGTTGTGTATAAAAATCAGTTTATAGGTTCTTCAAGATACTTGCTGATTTACATATATATATGTATAAAATTACAGTTAAATATTTAGACCACTGGTAGGTCATACTTATTTTGATAAGCTTAGGTGTATTACTTACATGGGGAAATATTGTCAGTGGGAGAACTGATGCTAGACGTTAACTTTTCAGGTATCTTTTCCTATAGTTTGGGACTCAGCCGGGATAAAACAGTTTTTGATGGTCACTTGTATTAAGTTAGCATTTAAGATTTTGTATTCAGATAACTAGAAAGTGGGAAATGGTTTTATTTTGAAGGTGCTGGTTAGTTTGTGCTGGAAGGGGCAAATGTAAAATAGTGGTTACTATTAGAATTAAAAAATCATGCCTGACACTCCTGCTAAACACAGCCCTTTTTTGTCAGCACAGCTGTCTGTGGAGTTACGTGTCTGGGAACTGTTACAACTGCAAACTAGCAATCAAAAAAAATTCCCCCTTTTCTGTTTTGTTTGTTGTTTGGTTGGTTTGTTTGTTTCTTTCATGTAAATATAATAATTACCATACTCGGTGTCATGCCGAAGAAGCTTTTTTGTGTGGCTGTGAAAGCTGTCATCAAGCAGGTGTACAAGAAAAAGGCAAGCGTAGGTGATGCTGCTAGGGAATATTTTCTCTGCTTTTTTCAGCTCAGAGGACTTGCTGATACAGCTGTGGGCTTTCTAATGTATTTTGTAACTCTAGGTAATGGCTGTCCCATATACTTTTTCAGATTTCCTGTTGAACCTTTGTAAACTCTCAGCATCCATTACATTCTGATAGTTTCTTCAGGTCTGCTGCCTGGTTTGAAAGACCTGTTCACTGATTTTGAACCTGGCTGCTAACCTAATTTGTCAGTTAGCATTTGCGTTAGAAAATATGGTAAACAACTAATTCCTGTTCAGTTTGTGACACTTGGTAGGCTTGCCTCTTGTTTCTTACCTGTAGTGAAAAGTTGTAGTGTGCTTGTTTCCAAGTAAAAAGTTATTACTTTTATCATCCTTGTTACTGTTTTGTGAACCTTCTCTACTTCTAGTAGCTACTTCTCTTTTAGAGGACAGACCAGGTACCGCACACAATATTCAAGATGTGGGTGAGTTCTAGATTTATATACTAGCAGGTTTTCACCTTTCTCTCTTTTCCTCGTAACTCATTGTGCTCAGTTCATGATGTGTATACACAAATACTTATGCTAATTTAGAAAAGAGGACTTTATGAGGGAAGGATAAAATTGCTGCATTTTGTAGTGATGCATTAAGACTTTTTGGTCTGTAACATGAAATAGTGCTTATTGTTGGAAGAGAGTGGGCCTGCTTCTCCCAGTTTCTGCAAGTGGAGGTTGCTTTGAATGTTATGGCATTGAAACCTGGACTTGCAGAAGAAAACAGGATATTTAGTGCTAAACTTCCTGCGGTTTTTTGCAGTGGTGTCTGTCAAGGCTCCCCAAGATACCATTGCCTTGTAGTCAGATTCCTGATAGAAGTTTAATTTTTCACTTCTGTGGACAGGATTGAAGGGAAAGACCCTGGGATACTTTGTTGTTGTTGTTGCTTGAATTATTTCAGGTCAGTAAGTTGTGGATTTAATATGCATAGGATTCAACATTGGTTGAAATTTTCCAGACTATGTGTATTTTCTCTACAGCAGATTGCAGAGCTATGTTGTTTAGAAGACAGTCTAATTCATGTGACTGGTGTTTGCAGAAGGAACAGAATAAACTTACAAAGAAAAAAACATGTAGATTCTACTGTCTCTGCCTGTGGCTTTGAAGAATTCATAATAGTGTTATGAAGTACATTTAGTTTTGCTATTAAAAGTATTATTGTCATTCCTACCCTATTGCATGTGATACATACAATTCACTTCCTTGAGATTGAGATGTTGTGAATGACTTTATTTTTAAGAAATGTAGTCAAATAAATTCAAACCACTAACTACCCATGGTAACTTGGTTAGTTGTGCAATTTAGAAGACTAACTCAGCTGCGTTGCTTCACTGTTACTGATGAAATAGTGAAAGAAGATGCTAATTCTTGAATAGATCCATTTCCATTCCTGTTCTGCTGTCTTCCTCTGTAAATTAATGAAGCAAACATTATTTACTCTTGGGACTTTCTGTGGTGAAAAGTAAATATAGCATTATATCAGGGTTTATAGTCTCAATTCTCTATTTTTTTTTTCTTTCATGCACAGGATAGTGTTGAAGGTTCTGTTTCTGTTACAAAACAGAGAACAGGATCCATTGGAGATCGCCCAGCAAGACCTACTCTTTTAGAACAAGTATTGAATAAAAAGAGACTGGTAAGTTTTGTTTTCTTAGCGGTTTTGAACTGAAATTAAGTAAAGACAGTGTAACAATGTTTAACTGTCACTTTTATAAAGATATAAATTAGTTTAATGATCCTACACTACATGTGCATATTTCCAAATTTGAAATACACTGCAGGGCAGCTGTGTGTGTCTCAGCGTCTGTGTAAATAATACTAAGATGACTAAATTTAATGATTGCTGCCATGTTAACTGAAGTTGAGTTTTTTGGTAGTACTAAAGAGATGTAGTTATTTCTTTAGGGTAAACAGCGCTTATAGTATAACAAATGTTTTTAACTTGTTGAACCAGCTTTTCTGTAAAGCTCCACAATGCATGGACTTTAGGTCTCATGCAAGCTTGAATTACTGTAATGTGTTTTAAAAGTTGTAGACCTATCATATCACGCTTAAAATTGCACATATGTTTGTTGATAAAGCAAACTGTGTATGCTAGCAGTATGACTTGCAATATTTGCAGACTGCATGAACGGTGTGTGTTGTAAGTTGTCAAACACTTATGCTGTTCCTTTGAGTATATTTGAAGAATTAAGCCCAATGAAGGGAAATAAGTCAGTATTTAGTGTTCCTTTGGTGGCTTCGTTACAACTTTCTGTACCTTTTTTTTTTCCAGTCTCTTTTCTCCAAAAGCTAACAGGCCTGATTGTATTCTCTCTGTTAGCTCTGCAAACCAATTTAACAAGCCTTATTAAAGTGCTGTAGTGTTTGTTCAGAAATGTAAAAAGTCTTTAAAGAAACTGGGTCGGTCTTAAGTATACACCTACGTAGATTTATTTTGAATTCTTTCTCAATAATAGCACCTATTTAATGATTATGTCTAAAGTCCAGAAGAGTATCTGTAGCTCTTCAGTTTGTACAGGAAGAATACAACAAACTATGGAATATTATTTTTTACATGTGTTGTTTTTCATGCCTCTCTTACTGAATTGTACCTTTTCCTGTCTGTTTCTATTCATGTGGCTTTAAATTTGAAAGATATTTTATTAATGAAACATTATTTTCTAGAAATATACCATTCAGAAGCTCTTTACATAGATGTTGAGAGCTTTTGCATAAATTATGTGAAGGCTTTTAAAAAATTGAGGTTTCCTTGCGGTATTCTCGTAAAGTGAGATTCAGATTCTCCTTGATCTGGTTCTTGTTTTTCTCTCTGCTTTGTTTTGGTTTCTCTCATTCAGGATTATTTCTTCCAGAATTTCTTCTGTGTTTTTGCACATACCTACACAGCACAATGCCTGAGGGTTACATGGTGACAGTCTGTTGCATCTGGGGCTGTTCCATATCTTGCATCCTTGCACAAGAAAGTTACTGCATGTCACTGGCAGCTGCCTGCACTTTTATCACTTAGAAGTGCCAAGTCCTTTGTGCTTGCTCGTAAGTGTCTTGCATGTGGTTAATCTCTGTGAGGAGATGCTTTTTTGGTGGTCTGTGTCTGCCTGGATGTGCAGCTTGTACTGGATAAAGATGTAGAAAGAGGCAAGGGGCTGAGAGGCAGCAAGTTGTGGATGGAAGAGCCTGAAACAACTTAATGTCACCAAACTGCACCAGATAAAGAACTACCGTTTGGTGAAGGGACTTGGTAAAGCAAATGTATAGTAAGGAAAAGGTGGCTGAGCTTCTGGTCAGTGAGCCTGTTTGTTGTTAGATACTGCTTTCAATGGCTGATTTGCTAATCTTGCCTGTCCAGTGCTGCTGTAGGTGTGAGTTGTATGCAGAATGGTTGTCTTCAGTGATAATCTCAGAAGAATTGCTTCTACTAGCAATAAAGTTCTAGACCCTGGGAAGCTGATGGTCCTTTTGAATGTCGATCTGGATTACAGAGTTGCAGTACCTCTTTGTTGAGTTGTGGAAGTGACCATGCATAACGAGCAAGCAGTATAGGGAATGAATTCAGATGAAAAATAACCTTTTTCCTCCATTAAATTTTGGAAGGATCCCTTCCCAACCTGGTTTACTTTCTGGCCTTGCAAACACTTGTGCTGCCATTGAGACCAAGTCATTAGTCTTTAGCTGAAATAACTTTACTTTTTAGCATGAGTATGACTTACCACCTGAAAGTGATGGTTCGCTGAACAGAGCGCCCCTCTGAGAGTGGGAACCTGCCCTTGTGGTGAGGCATGATAATGCGTTAGAATTTAAGACTAGATGGCTTGCATCTGCTTCTGTGAATTGTTTCTAAGCAGGGACATCCCTAATGGTAAGATACAACAATTTGAACAAAGAACTAAGCACATAGCTCAAAGTTCTTGAAAGCTAAAAGGTAACCAATAGACTGTCATTGTGGCCCTAACCCAAGTGTGCAGTAGGTTAAGAGAACTACAGTTATATAACTTAACCGAATTGTATGTCTGGGTGCTTTAGATAAAGTTATATCAAGATGAGAACATAAAGTATAAAATTCCTGAAATCTACTGTGCTTTGAAGATGTATATGGAGGTTTGAACCCCGACGTGCTGCCAGCACCAATAAAGGTCTGTGCTTTACAGTGCATACTGTGATTTCTTTGAATCACCACCATGCAGGAATGAGAGTGAACAGCTACAGCAGGATCACAGACTGCAACTGTTCAGGCCAGGAGCCAGATGCAAATAGGTTTAGATACAGTTGTCTTTTGACTGAAGGCAGAGGGATTTTTTTAACTCATTCCTCATGGCTGGACTGATGTTTTGAAATGTTGAGGAATTATTGAATGTCCAGTGAACACTGAATGTTAGAGTATGTCAAGTTGGAAGAGACCTGTGATGGCGACTCCTCTTGCAGGACTACCTAGAACTAAACCATGTGACTAAGAGCATCATCCAGAGGCTTGAGCTCTGAGAGACACATGAGCTTTGCTGTAGAATTACAGTTTTTTATTTATTTATTTTGAGCTATCGGCAGTGGGAAATGTAGAACTCAAAACAAAACGAAGCACAGTGGAAAAGTGTTTATTTCAATATGTCATAAGATTACTCTTGTTTGCTATTTCTGGGTTTTTGTTTTGTTGGTGTGTTTTTTGTGGGTTTTTTTTTTGTTTGTTTGTTTTGTTTAGTGGGTTTTTTTTTTGTTTTCTGTGGTCATGTGTATTCTTTACCTTCTGAATTTGCTTTCAGGATCTGTGTTAATGCCACTTCTGGTTACTTGCTGATGTCCTGAAACAGTTCCTAGATGTCTTTTTGTGAGCATGCTTTGTAGTTCTTCAGCATTTATTTGAACTCCCATTTATATGGGTGTACTGGTTTTGGCTGGGATACAGTTCATTTTCTTAAGAGTAGTTTGCACAGGGCTGTGTTTTGGGTTTGTGATGGAAAAGGCGTTGATGACACGGTGATGGCTTAGCTATTGCTGAGCAGTGCTTCATCGCAGTAGAGGCGAATGAGCAAGAGGCTGTAGAACTTAGTTGGCTTATTGAGGTTAAACCACAGCAATAGGTAATGTGCAAGTCGTTTTAATGAAAAAATATTATCATATAATCACTGTGGTAGCTATTTAGTGCATGTTCTTTAAAGTAAAGTCTGCTTTCCCTTTCTTGCAGTCCCTACTCAGAAGCCCAGAAGTAGTGCAGTTTCTACAGAAGCAACAGCAGCTGTTAAGTCAGCAGGCTTTGGAACAGAGGCAGCAACAGTTTCAAGGAGCACCTGGGTAATCAGAACAGATCAATGCCTGCAAATGAGTCTGGTGCTGAAAGAGGAATAGGATGTGTGTTTTATAGAAATACAAAGACTCTTGATGTTTAAGGGAAAGCGGAAGTTGCTGCTGTTATGTATTTTACTTGTCTCTTGTTCGCACTTTTGAGGTGTGGAGCTGCTTAGGTGTCTGCAAACTTGTGAGCAAATCTGGAGGAGTCTATTTTTGCTTCTTTTTAAAATTAATTTTATTGTTTAGGATTTTAATAGAAATTTGTTTGTATCAGTAACGTTTAGCTGTACACCCTTTTCCTACCAAAGTCTTCCACTATATCAACATCCTTCTATATAAGGATTTACTGTTAAACAAGTCACTCTTTGATGACAATCATTGAAGGAAGTCAATTACTTTCTATGGAAGTTGTGAAATAAAGTCCTGAATCTGAGCTGGTCCAGTGGCATGACCTAACAGCAATTGCTCAGGGATATGGCAAAGTTTAGTGCATAATTAATTTTGCTGGACATAAGGCAAGGACAAGATGCCATCCAGAAGTTGATCCATTGGCTCAGAGAAGTGTAAATCAGGTCATCCTCCTACTATATATTCATTATGTACAAGTTAACTAGGTTTGAAATCATTGTCTGTGCAAACCATGTGAAAGAATTTGTGGTTAAAAGTTCCCAAAAAGGTAAATGGCAAAAAACTTAGAAGAATTAGGTGGGATGTATGCAGCTGAAAGTTGGACCTTGTTTTGTGGATTTTTTTTGCAAGGACCAACCTCTTATTGCATGAAATATAACTTAGTTACAGATGAGAATATCACTCATTTTTTAGTGATAAGTTAAAATCTAAAGCTTTTCACTCAGAATAGCAAGTGCATCCAAACCCTAAAATGTAATTCTTTTTTTTTTTTTCTTTATGTAGCCCATTTCTTCTGAAAATATAGTTAAAATTGTCCTATTAAGACAACCAGTATCTCATCAGCTCTAGTGCTAGACTTCCCAGGTCTTCAGCCAATTCAGGTTATTCTGTAAATGGTGGGTTTGAAACTACAGACACTATTATGTAAGTGTTGAATCCCACCTTTTGTTTCAAAAGTGAAAGTTTCATATTAAACCACATTTCTGAATAGAGGTTATCTGAATGGCATAGGTGCTTATTGAAGTACTACTTTGATATTGCAGCAGTTCAGTCTGCTAAATGATATATTTTCAGGAGTATTTGTTAGTCTTATATATTTTTACAAGCTGTGCTTTGTGTTTGTATAGAACTTGTTCAGTAACAATTTATTGTATTTAGCATTGTGCAAGTTGTTCTTTAAAAAAGAAAAACTTTGTATCGACCATTCTGGACCAATAACTGCTTGAGTAAAATCTTTGATTTTCTTTAAAAAACAAACCTAAAGTCTGTCTTTTCTTAGTCTACTAAATTTGCATGTTAGTTGTTTTGCTATACTAAAATGGCTAACTCTGACTAGGTGGAATTAAACTTTTGCATTCCAAGGCTATTGTTTAGCTTTAAGTAAAATCACTCAGGTTTAAAACCTGACTTCTGTGACAATACATTCTTACTATATTTCTTTTTATTCCTTGAGCAGTTTGAGAACCTGCACAGCTGCAGGTCTGTCCACAGCTGGGCTTCTGTCCTAGGGCAGTATTACTACTCACAACTACCTGTTGGCTCAAGGTTGCCTCCTTCCATATTAGGATGATCAGCCCCTTGAACTTTCAAATCTACCACGGGACAGTGAGGAATACATATACTTTATAACGTGTATTTTATGGAGTATCAATTTCCAATCTTATAGTATCTACCATCCCATTCTGCGGAAAATGTTGCTTCATCCTATTACTGATTCAGTGAAATCACTGATTCCTCTCGCCCAAGAGTGACTTGTATGAATAAAGTTTTTCTAAATTCTCTGGTTCCCAAGGTCACCAGCGATCAGACAAGGATCTACAGCTTTCCAGGGCCAATCCGTTTCAAAGAGAAAAATGTGAGACAAAGGGAAGAGCTGTTAAATCCGAAATATCTTTATTAACAGTAAAACACAAGACGTGAATCCCTTTTACAATAGAATAATTCCAGCCAAAGAAAATGAAGCTTATTGTTCAAACATCAGACTAAATATGTTGACTTCAGAATGCCTCAAATCAAATGCATCACGAGGAATGCTGGGAAAATGTACACTTCATGACTAGTTGTTATATCTTTCTCAATATGACAGAGCACAGGCCAGAGTAGCTGGGCTGGTGGGAGGACTCTTAAGATGCCCTGTTCTCTCAGGCTCCTGAAACTAAAGTATGTCTGAGATTTTCCATGCCCAAGAGGCAAGAGTCCAAGTAGCATTCTTTATACAGCAAACTACTCTGTTTTACAGAGTATCACTAACTGAATAATACTTTGTTGTGGTGCAGATGTTTTGCTTTCATTCTGATGAAAAAGAGAGTGAAGAGTTGTTCAGACAGAAGTGACGCTGTTAAATCTGTCTATGATTCACGGTGCTTTTCTGTACCAGACTAGCTTGTACTTAACACAAAAATCTCCACACCTTGCTCAAATCCACCGTTTTGGACCCTTGACTGCATAGAAGTTACAGCCTTATGGCTTCATTGATGCACACAAAAAGGCCTGTTTCTTCATTTTCTTGTCTTGCTTCTCAGGCCCATTGGTATCACAGAGGTGATGCTGAAACGAGGGATTAAATTGCTAACACTGAGTTATCTGCTGAAAGTATGCTGTGGTACTTTTAACTTGCACTTAAAAAGTATTATAAATAATTAAAATCTCCAATTGCTTGAGTAAGCAAAAAAACCTAATCTGAATGTGCATTATCTCTGCTCATCATTGTTTGTTCCCTTGCTCTCTTGTTTGCAAAGCTTCACATGGATGTAACTGTGAATTAGTAAGATTTAACACACACTTTAGCATCAAAAAACACTTTCAAACATGATGTGATCACTACTGTGACAGTGCAAGGTGTCTGAGTTTACTAAAGTTTTTCTAGCTTTTCTTTGCTGATGAGGTCTGTATTTAAAATTATTAACTGGTTGGTCTGTTTCTTCTATGCTATTCATATGCAATATTATTTGAATACTAACACAGAATGTAAAATAGCAGCATCCATGGATAATAAAAATGCTATGACTGAAGATCTGAAAACTGTTCACAATTAGCTGCAGCTATTCACATTGGCTATAATGGGAGAGTAGTTGACTGGAGGATGTATTTAGTGGTTCTGTTTGCCTTGCAGAGACATGGCCTGCATATCAGATTGCAACAGGCACCAAGTTGCAAGCATGGCCCAGCTGCAAATGGAGGTGTCCCCTTGGCAAGATGCTCATATGCCTCACCTCTCTGGCAGGGAAGCACAGCATCAGTATGGCAATGGAATATAAGGCACACCCGGGCAAGCGGTTGGAAAGTCCTGGGGTGATCAGGTAACAGGGTTCTGGCTGCTCCTGGCAACTCTGGAGTTTCTGAAGAGTGAATGATTGGTACAAACCAAAGCCTGTATTTTGTGCTGCTGCACAGCATGGAGAAATGCTTGCCTGCACTGGAGACACAGAAATTTCTCTCTGCTGAACAAAGACTAAATGCCCGCTCAGGCTTTTGGTACCTACCAGTAGGATGAAGCCTTGTTTCAGTGACTGCAATTAGGACTCCAGGTTGAGAAGCTTTTTATTCACAGAACTGAAGTCTCATACGATCTCTCTCCCTGCTGCAAGATTGGGACCAACTCTTTATTAGGCTCTTTTTTTTGATGGTGACCTGATCTCTTAGTCACTCTCAGAGAAGCACAGTTGTCTGTTCTTAGTTCCTGCTATAAATATGATTTTATAGCCAGGAGTCCCTGTGAAGGCTCCTGCTGATTCCATCTTCCCAGCTACACATGAAGTGAGTTGCCTTACTGCAATTCCCAGGTAAATGCTCTAATAATTCATGTCTTCAGTCATGCAGTTTCTGTTCAGACTGAAGTTTTCTTTGAGATGCACACAGTAGATGTACTTGGAGTGTTCTTGAATGATTGCCTCAAAACTGATCTCCTCATTAGTTCTACACTGAGGCAGAGTAATCTTACAAATGCAGTTTCCAGATGCAACCAGTCTGCTCCCTGAATCACATAGGACACTGTTTGTCCCAGTATATCTAATGGCTTAATCAGGAGGCTGGCACACTCAGCCAGACTGTGTGTACAGGAAGCACCAGCTCAAGCATTGCGGTACTTCAAGCTGCCCCTAAACCAGGTCTTGATTTAGATGTGAACCAGGTTTAGATGTGAATGTCAAAAGCTTGACATCCCTCCAGGCTTCTCCAGAGGTCTCACCTTTGGCTTGGAGAGCAGGTGGGACATGTTACATTCAGCACATTTCTGATTATATAAATCTATATTCTGGGCAGTAGTGCTCAACTTTGAAAAATTGTATTTAATTACCCTATGACTGATTAATCTTTACTGTGTGCGGGTTTGCTTTACTACATGAGTTTATGGGGAGCCGGGGAAAGAAACGAACAGTACAGAGGACATGTTTCTTTCCTGTGTTGAGCACCAGGTAGTGCTTAAGTATTCCTAAAAGCTAGAGCTGCACCAGAAAAGTCTCTAAGAGCAAGTAATTTGCCTTATATTTGAGACTCCTTTGAAGTTATTAGGTTCATTCAAGCTTCTTTATAAATTCTTTCCATCCACCCAAGAATCAAATCCTCTGCCCAAGCTGCCTCTGCAAATCCCCGTCTGTGCAATTCCTGTCACTGGGGAGACTTACTGATTCATAGAGCTTATAAGAAAAGGTGAGCATTGTAAGCCAGAAAGAACAAGGGCAGATTAGATAGTTACAGTCACAAACACCTGATTTTCTCCATTTTAAGAGTTCTGTGGTACAGATGATATTTACAGTGAGAGATGTTTGCAGTGTTGATTTTATGCTAAGGGAACATTAATACCTCATAACTGTGTCCTGTACTGAACTCATGCAAAAATAGCTGAGGATAAACATGCTTCATCCTGAAACTGTTCTTCTAACAGAGATCTCTGCCTGTGGCAACCAGTTATCACTGAATCTCTGCAGAGCCCACATAACAATGTGAACTGGAAGTGATCTCTGAAGGCCAGGACCACTCAGAGAAGGCTGCTCAGGGCAGTGAAAGTCTCGACTCAGTACCTGAGGGAGACATCGAAGGAATTTCCTCAACTCCACTTGATGTTAGTTGGGGCCACAGTTCCCCTTTGTGTTTCTGATACATTATCAGGAAGGCAAAACTTTTTCATGAGGTGTAGACACTTGTGGCATAGCCTCTGATGGGGAGGCAAAGCACGTGCTGCACATCTGAATGCTACAATCATTGCTTACGGTACCTGATCAGCTGCTACAGTGCAAGGTCATGGGGCGAAGCCATTCAAGCAGGAGTGCCACAGAATGGCTCCACGCAGCCAGCGTGCTGGATTTGCTACCATCACCTCTGGATGCAAATAGCACATTAATACTGGTGCTGCTGTACAACTGGCAGCAATTAAGCAGCCTACTTCTCTTGACCACTTAATAGGAAAACAAGTGGTCTCTGTACCACAATGAACATGCTTTATGCCTCTGCTGATCAAACTCCCACCACTGCCTGCTGACGCATGGTACTTCTCCACAGAAACCTTCAAGACGGTTTGAACCACTGATGGCTCAAAAAACATTTAAAAACCTCTGCCTTCAACTAAGCAGTCTCCCTGTAAGTGGTTTTAAATCTCTCAGGAAGACTATCTCCAAAGCTTGAGTATTAATGAGTACATTTAAAGGCTTTAAATTGACTACAGGTTGATAGGTTCATGAAGACCTTTCAGCAGAAAATGTTGCCTTCCAAAATGGGGAGACATTCAAGTGAGATTCAAAGTTACACTGCTGTAAATGATGTGAAACTGGAATTTTTAACTGAGCTCAATTCACATATACTATAGAAGTCTGAAGCAGAAACTTTGTTCAAAAAGAAAGGGGAATAAATGGATTATAGTCTTTCTTTTTATCACTGTATCTGGGCAGGGGTCATCTTCCTATTTACTTGTTTGCCTCATCTACTGCTACCACTTCTCCCTTGTGATGAGCTCTTCCCTTCTTTTGGGAAGGAGCTGTCAGCTGCTGTGTGTTTGTACAGCATCTCATACAGTGAACAAAACCCCTAGAGGCCACCAAAATGGGAAGAAGTTCACACAGTGGTATCAGCCTTCCCAAAAGCTAACAACTCTGAGATGGCTGTTGGCCTGGATTGCCCAGAATCAGGTACTTCAGTCCAACTTCCAGCAAATAGTTAAATTTGGTGAAATTCATCTCATCCTAATGCAGATATTTTAAATAGGACAGAAGAATAATGCTCCAGAAATGCCTCTTTACTTACTAGTAAGAGAGTATTAAGGTGACTACCTTTAATAAGATGCAGGTATGGACTGCATTAAAGCCAAATCCTATTGGCGCGAGGATTACTATAAATGTAGACATACAGAAATTAAAAAAATGCTCTGAATTTACCAACTTCCATTTAAGAAACACAGACATTTACCAAGCAAGCATCACTATGCTGAGAAAGCCACCACACCTTCCCTTGGGTGCACTCACCTGCTTGTGGCTATGTCCAGTGTAGCAGTCCACATTTGAGTTGAGTGACCCTCAGTTCCCCTAATACTCAAAGGGGAAGACATAAGCATGCCCAGAGAGAAGTATTTTTCATCTACTTGAAATACCTGCCTTATGATGAAATGAATGATGCCCCACAGGAATCTGCTTCTCTTTACTGGCCATCCAATTTTCTGCGTTGGCAGGAAACTGCCAATGGCAGGAGCTGCCCAAGAGCAGATGCGCCTCAGAACATCTCCCTTTGCTATCTGTGAGGAAGACGACAATGCTAGGAATGTCTAAAAGCAACCCATCAGCTTCTGTCTGTACTAAGAGGGAAGGAGGTTTCAGCCTAAAAGGCAAGGAAGAATCTAGGATAAATGACAGAGCTAGATCCTAGACAGGAGAGGTGATTTTCTCTGTCCTTGGGTGCCAAGAAAGCAAAGGGATAAGCAACATGAAAAGCACAGAGAAGTTACAGGAGAAAAGGTGCAATAATATGCTTAAAAATGTATTACCAGTACTTCAGTATAGTGACACTGATGACAGAGGGAGCTGAGGAAAACATCGTTTTTCCTTACTGATCTCTTTCAAGTCTGCTAAATCATAAATGGCACACCTGGAATTTCTGTGTAACATTATTATGGGAATTCATTGCTGCAAGAGACTGGAAAGCTTTTCTATCTCACAGTGACACTGGTGATCTCAAATGGTGACAGAATAGGGTTCTTTGTATTTACAGATTTCCTATAAAACTTGCTATTACTGCTCAGACTCAATAATGTATCCTCTGTGCCCTACAAATTCGGCAGGCAGCTGAAGATTCATTAAATGAAGTAACTTTGCTAGTTTACTAATTCTTCTGCTCTGTTCATAATTACCACCGTAACAGGTATTACACAGCATCTAAAACATATGGGAAGTCTTTCTAGTGAATGATATTTCCTTTGCATTATGTGATTATATGATTTCAGGCATCCTCTTGTAATTATACAGTAAAATGTGTAGCACCAGATATTGTGTGAGAAGAAAAGAAACATTCTGTAAAACGTTTGTTTTGGTTTTTTTTTCCTCAGGATATTTCTGGTACGTTCTAAGGAGGAATAAGACTGGAGAAGTTATCGCTCTTTCTGACCCTTAAAGCAAAATAATTTTCAGTGAACTGTTATGCCTGGAAAGAAATAACCCTCTACCCCTTAAGCAAGGTAGTGAGGACCATCAAAACGTAATAAGAGTATCACCTGCCTCCTCAGAAAAAGTTACCAAGTGAACAGCATTTTGCAAGGCGGGCTCTGTGGATGCAGGTGAGGGCCATAGGTTTCCCTGCTTACAGAAGGACCATAAACCTTTTAAGAAAGGTTCTGCACATAGATTCACTCTTGGCTTGGTTGTGGCTTATACTACCATACCATCCTCTGCGGCGAGGCAAAAGTGCTGCAAATGCTGAAGCCTCTATCTAAGATGAGGAACCATCCATGGGGATGTGTGAAGTGACTGCCAGGGAAGCCCTCTCCATCAAACCTGAGCATTGCAGTCAGATCCTAAGGACTGGCCCAGCACTGGGGTGGAGATGGCTGACTCCCACCTCCTCTTCATTGCATCCTGAGCGTGGGGCTTCTTGTTCCCAGTACAGAGACTATCCCAAGATGAATGATACAGTAATTACTCAGTTCTTCGATGCACACTTCATTTCTCTTTTCTGAATCACAGTTCAAGTCCCTTTCAGACATACACTTGATATCAGCACAGTAGTCTAACTACAGACAGTCCTAACTTTAAAACAAGCTACATCAATACTGTATAATGGATAGGATTCAGTTTACATGCCGGAAACATATGCAAGTATGTACTTTGCAAAAAAGCACTGAAGTTAACTGGTTTTTAAACTTACAGGCATATATTTCAAATTTTTTCTTTTTTTTTTTCCTTAGAAGCTTGTTGCTTTTTGGTGCAGCAGTACCATACACTACTGTGTTAGAAGTATCAGACTACTTGGATGTGTCCAGAATGCTCCAGTAAAGCTCCAGTGCTGAACGCGTCCAGAGGCCCCTCTCTTCCTGCCAAATCCTACAGGAGACAGGGATACCCCGGAGCTCCTCAGAGGATCTGTTGTCCCATTGTGCTTTGCAGTAGGGAGACAGACTGGAATTGCAGTTTAGTCCTTCAGTTCACTGGATGAAAGTCATCTCTATGCATAAGTCCTGTGCACCACCTAAGGTCCTCTTTTAGACCTTAGGATGTAAAATGGATATGAATGGTGCAGAGATCTGACTTTGGTTGCCTGCAGAGGGGTGAATTTCACCTACTAGGAGCAGCTACAGCCAGGTTTCTGAATCTGCATGAAAGTGCTGACAATTTGCACCGTTTACTGGCTTGGCTGGGGAATGAAGATGCTCACAGGAAATGTTTGACACTTTTGCAGGAAATCTGGCTTATTTTGCACTAGAGAACAGATATGCTATACCTGAATTTCTAAACTTACTGTACTGGCATCGGAGTAACTAGAAACCACAAAATAGCATGGAAATAAAAAAAGGAGCATAGACTATGTATAGATATATTTACATCTACGTACATCTACATATAGAAGTTTCTGTTCACTGGAAATCCTATAAGCCACTGCCTGCAATAGCATCCATCCTAAGGGAATTCTAGAGATGATTCTTAAGAGACTGAGGAGATGGGGTTATGAGGTGAGCCCATCTGTGTCAGCACCTTATCCAGCCATTGCAATGGTCCATGCAGGTGGATCTCAATCCAACAGGGCGTGCTTGTAACATCTTGGCGATGATACTCTGCTCCCCAGCCCTATAAAAGCATCAAAGAACCAAAAGGTGAGATGTTTGGGTTTTTTGAAAACAGAAACATTAAATCACAACTGCAGTGCAGTTTAATCTAGCACAGCTACAGACAGGCCATCACCTAAGTTACCATGATTTAATGCCTTGTCCTAGGGATCATTTTCTCTAGAAACTTTTTAAGGTCACTGTTACCATAGTTACCAGGAACTCTACACTATTATGCTGTAATTTAATAATGCTATTAAATGAAAATGTTACACTTCCAGGTGCTGAAACACATAGCATGGAAAGGCCTGCTTCCAAGCTTAGGTCTCTGCAAACAGCCTATGGGGAATGGTCCCTGCTGTTCACACCCTGGAGACGTGCCCAGGAGAGTCTGCCAGACTGCTGTCTGGCATGAACGAAAAGCAGACCAGGCCCTGGCGTAACACTTTAATAAAAACTGGGAATGACCCTGGGAACTGCTTCATTTATTGGTAGAGATGCATCCTACAAGTCTGAGACTAGTTCTAGGTATTTTTCTGAACCTCTAGGAGTTCTAGGTATTTATCTGAACCTCTGGAAACTTCTGGCAAGGTTCCTATGTACCGCACGTAACCTATGTGTAGATATTTTCCATAGTTCTTCTATCTGTGAAGGTGTCCTGGCCCATGGCAGGGGGTTTGGAGCTAGACGATAGTTAAGGTCCTTTTCAACCCAAACTATTCTCTGTCCTCTTTTCCCATGGGAAATGCCTCTTTTTCCAGCTGCCTGCTGTAGGAAGTCCTGCAGTAATTTCTCCAGCTCTTTTAGAAAGGTAAGGGATATGTAGTGTCTAGCAGAAGATAGGGTTGTGGTTCTGGCAGGGAGAAAAGAAAACGGGAAGTCCCTGTGCCTCAGGCAAGTACAGTGTCTGCTTGTGAAGTAGGCAGCCTGATTTCACAGCAACACAAGACATCCAAGTCACAGCCGAAAGTCTGGAAGCTCAACGGCTGTCGTCATCTCACTGCCAGAGCTGAACTTGGATTTCCATCGGGCAATATGCAAAACACGGTCCCACTGCAGGATGAGCCTCTTCATTTGTGGGCCACTGATCAGAGAGACTGAGCCTTACCTGCCATTAGGCTAGTCAGGGGGGGTGATATTCATGTCATGAAACAAGGACATGGAGGTCTGCCAAAGGTGCGTACATTGTAGAGCGCAGAACAACTCAGAAAACTGAGGCTGGTAGAACCCATGTCTCTAGACAATCACCTGCAAAACTAGGATCAACACCAAAACTAGATGCCATAATAAGTAGTCTGGATAAAATCCATTGCTACTTCATGAAGGGGCAAGAAAGCAGAAGAGTAAGATATGGACCCACCAAAGCCCAAAGAGTACTTTTAATCAGGTGGCATTTTCTGACCTGCAGTGCATTATCAGGCTAGAAAGGGCCTGTGTTCCAGACACCTCAAATTAATGTTCTATACTTAGGGAATATTTGCATAAAATCCTTAAATCAGCCCGGCCAGACTTCTGAGGTTGTGAAGTCTGAAGCACTCAGCTGCAGGGAAAATACACGAGAAGTCAGTGCACCCCTGTGACTGGCAGGACAGAAAGTCCGGAGGAACGGAATGGCAGCCTGGAATCACAGCCTGCCCGGTTTGGAGAGCCAGGCAGTGCAGGCGGCTGGGCACCTCCCTGTGACTGGCAGGACAGAAAGTCCGGAGGAACGGAATGGCAGCCTGGAAGCACAGCCTGCCCGGTTTAGAGAGCCAGGCAGTGCAGGCGGCTGGGCACCTCCCTCTGCTGGCAGCTACAGGCAGGCAATCCCGGTGCCGGATGGAGCTCCGAGCAGCGGACATGCCAGCAGGGCAGCAGCCCTGTGACTCACTCTTGGGCTGCAGGTAGCCTCCTGCATGCCCGAGGCTGAAATGATCCCGGAGATGAAGCTCTTTCAATGAGGAAATAAAATGAGAACCACTTGCAAAGCTGTGGTGGTGTTTCACACAGATGGTGGGAAGAGGATACTGCTACCCCCACAGGGAGACCAGAAATGCCCCTGCTGGCACAGTGAAGATGAGCTAAGCAATCCTGCTGCTCCTGCCAGTCCTTCCCATCTCCAGGCCAGGCTCCAGCCACTGGGCTGCCTCATGCAGTGCAGCATGGCCATGAAGGTCCTGTCCTCTCTGATAATCTTCATGTGCCCATGAAGCAGCTGGGAGGAGGTCAGCCCTCAGGCAAATGTGAGTTTATCATCAGTGATATCAGACAGCAGTTTCCATACACTGGGTGTTGTCCCCTCTCCATAGATGAGGCAGCTGAAACACAAAGTTTCTCTAAGGTGAGGTGTGAACCCAGCATCCTTCTTCCCACATTTCCCCAGGTCTTGGGGCTGAGAGGGCAACCCAGCAGGACCTTCATGTCCCTCTGTCCCATGTCCTGACTCCATAAGATGATACCGTCCTGGCAAGTTTCTCACATCTTGGTCCCTACTCATCCCTGCCTCCCAGCCAGTAGCTGAAGCATCAGTGGGGTAGGAGGCAAGGCTTGCCCTATGGGCTCTAGGTAACCAGCAGTGTCTGAATACGAATCAGAGGAGAGGCCCCAGGACTGTCGTTCACTTGGGGTCTCTTGGTGTGTGGCTCTGACAGAAAAACATGTGCCTCTTTGCACTGCATACCCAACACCCAGGGACATTCCTGTCCCCAGACTGAATACACACTGGGGCTCACACCTTAGGAGAGAAATAACTGGAGAAGACTGAGAACAGGAAAGAGTTTTTACAGGCCAGGAAGAAAACAAGATGAGATTTGCATAGTCATTTTCCAAAGGTCATGGGAAAAGGTTCCAAATGACTCCTTGCACTGGTTTTCTGGTGCCTCAGGCACTATAGTGGCTGCTATTGTTTAAAAAAAGCAAGGTGATAATATGGCAGCAACATTATTTAGTGCATCAACATCACCATTTCTGCTGCCATGCTGGGCATGGAGGCAGATAACATATCAAAGAGACTGCCCCTGAGTTGCTGATATAATGAAAATATTGTGTAACTGGCTACATTGCCTTTACAAACAACATGCCCATTCATGTCTCCCATTAAAGAAAATGCTGTTTGTTGGGTTTCTTGCTTTCTTTTTTCCTGTAACACTTGTGTGTGAACAAGATGTCAGTTCCTTCTCAAGAACAAAGTTGGTCACGGGCAGGAAGATTTTGGCTTGGACTCTTGGGAGAAGTTACAGAGCACTCTTAATGCTCTCATAGAGTTAAGGAAAGACATCCCCAAGGATGACTGGAAAGAATCAGACCAGAAAGCTGTGTGCAACTCAACTCATCTACTTTTAGAACATAAGGGAACAGGGCTCAAGCCTCAAGGCTTATCACAGTATCACAGTATGTTAGAGATTGGAAGGGACCTCGAAAGATCATCTAGTCCAATCCCCCTGCCGGAGCAGGAACACCTAGATAATGTTACACAGGAATGCATCCAGGCGGGTTTTGAATGTCTCCAGGGAAGGAGACTCCACAACCTCCCTGGGCAGCCTGTTCCAGTGTTCCGTCACCCTCACTGAGAAGAAGTTTCTTCTCAAGTTTAAGTGGAACCTCTTGTGTTCCAGTTTGTACCCATTACCCCTTGTCCTATCATTGTTTGCCACTGAGTAGAGCCTGGCTCCGTCCTCGTGACACTCCCCCTTTATATATTTATAGACACTGATAAGTCATATCTTAGATGTGAGTTCAATCAGCTTGATTCAATCATTTGTATAAAACCGCACCTGCAAGGCAAAGTGACATACTCAAGCCACTTCTTATGGGACCTAGCAGGACCAACTGGCTTCTAATGGCGCAGCTTCTCTAGTTTGCAGGCTGAACATCGCTGCCAGCTCTCCCCTACAGCACTATAGGAAATAAGTCTAGCACAGTTGTAAACAGCCTTGAAATACTCACCATTTCCTGGGTTTTAGATGCTACATCAGGCACCTAAGTAAATCCTAAGTGCCAAAAGGAGTTAAGATCTCATTTTGGTGAGAAGGCCATCCAAAAGATTTAAGAAACTCTTAAGACTGATAGATCACACACAAAGCAGACTTCAAAGTTCATATATGAAAGACACAAAACAAGTAATGGCCTAGGTGGTCTCCGGACTCTTCCAAATAACAGAAGGGAGGTCAGATTTTCTTTTGGGGGTTGTATTTTGCTTGCAAGAAGCCCTTCTGGTCCTGTGGCTGGCCAGAGTAAATGTCATGAGAAATTAAGACAATCTCTTGCCAGGGATGAGACAGGTGACAAAGAGTCACAATTCCCAGTAAACTCAGTGGGGGCTGAAGGAGAACCCAGTGTTTCTTGACTGAGACCATATTTACCTGTCTATAGCAATGGTGAGACTGTAAATTAGTCTAGAGACATAAGGACATTCTTTTCAGATCTATGGCTCTACCAAACTCTATTGCAAATCAGTAATAATAGCAGAGATCACAACTGCCTAAGGTACATGCTACATTTATATGTTGCTACGCCCCTTTAAGTTGAGGTTTTTATGCAAACAATGGGGGAACATCACCATGCAGTCTCTGCTTATTTTCCACAAAAGCAAGCTATGGAATACCTAGGTTTTGGAAACTAAAAAATTTCCAGGTTGACAACAAAAGCTATTCATTTTAAGCACCTAGAAGTTTAAAGCAGTAGTGGAAAACATGCAGTCTGAATTGCTTTTCACAAGTTGGGTGTCTAAATCCCCACTTGGGAAGGATTTTATGAGGTCTAGTTTTGCACCAAAGTGATGGGATTTGCCTTTCAGAAATGCAAGAAAGTAAGAATCCTTACTTTAACAAAGCTCATTCGAATAGTACACATCTTGGTCAGCTCATACACCACTTCGAAACCATGATTTACTGACTGGGCCAGCAGCTGGGCAAAAAGCTGGTTGTTGAAGATCTTGAGGCTGCAGCCACTGGGGATCTTGCAGACAGTGGCTGGGTGGAAACCATGCTGGTAGTTACAGTTACGGCTTTGCACAAAAATACTGCTGTCACTGACACATTCAGCATAAACTTCCCCACCAACGTAGTAAAGATGAACACCTTGAAAAAGAAGAAATAACCTGTATTGTTTCTCCATTGTTCACAGCACACTTTACACCAGCAAGTCTTTAACTATTTTACATAAAAGTCCAGGATCATTCCAGGCACTCAGTGTCTACACATTGCCTTTAAAAAGACAGTAAACTGTGTGCATATCCATGTAACTGTACAATGGACCCACCAACATTAAGAGGAAATAGTCATAAATGCTATTTTGAGGTATTGGTCTAGAAGAAAAAAGTCTTATCATATGATGTTTTTCTTTGTTTCTCAGTGGAAGGTTGGTTTACTTCTTTAACCCAACCGCACAGTATAACAAGGCACACACATACATACACACGTAAGTATCAAAGAATGGATCAAAACTGTAAGAGAAGTGACAAATCTGTTCTGCATTACACATCTAAATGTATTTTCACTGTTGAGCAGATGCAGGCTGACCAAGACCAATTTCATTGCACGCTAATTTTTTACTGCAGGATTCTATCTCATGCATGGTGTGTACTTAAAATAGCTTTTCTGCATTTTGCTTTATCCACCACATCAGAGCCAGGTATTTGCATTTACATGACGTGACTTACTCATCAGATCCTGTTCAAAGTGACCTTTAGCAAGAAGATGACAGATTTGATTCTGGACTTTCAGTGCCCAACTAAGTGACTAACTGAAACTAACTCTCATTTTTTTTCTGTGCCTTGGGGAAATGAAAATGGAAGCATTTCTATCCATCAAAGACTCTGGTCCCCCCAGAATGTCTGCATAGATGAAAATATACCTAAATTGAGAATTTATCTTAGCCTAATTCAGCAACTGTAAAGTTAGGGATCTTGCGTGAGCTAATTGTGCAGATGCCTTCCCTAGTTGACAGATGATGGGAAGCACTGTGACCAGATAATTCACTCAGTCCACTACAGAGCACAGGCTCACAGCCAGCTTGAACTGATGGAAGTCTGTGCAGGTGCTGAAAAGGCTCACTTGTTCCCTGCCCCTGCTGCTTCTTCCCACACCAGCTTTCATGCTGGCAGCAATGGCTGAGGATTGGGCAGCCATCCAGATTGGGGAACTGAACCAGCAAATAAACTTAAAAACAAACAAAACAAAACAAAAGAAGATTTATTTGGAGTAAGATCTTCATCACTGCAAGCGTGGCAATAGGGACACAGACTGCTTAAACATGTGCATGAAACCACACCCTGAAAGAGGACAAGTCATCCTGTGAAGATTCCTAGACACCCTTCCCATGGATAGATTAGATGAGACGCCCCCCTCCCATGGCCAAGAGAGGTGGGAGAGAATCTTTGTTCTCATAAAAACCACCACTACAGGAAAATAAAATCTTCCTCTATTCCCAGGTACAGCAGTCAAACCCTTACATACAAATGCACATGTTCACAGAGTCTCAGTGGCCTGCTTGCAGAGCTAGTGATAACTATGCTTTAATAATTTAGCTGTAATTAGTTTTATTCATTTGTCTTTCATACAAAAAAGACTGGTTACATATTCCCAACCTGTTCATCGTTCTGCGGTCATGACAGCAAGGGGCAGCAGCACATCCTTAGGACAAAACTGGCTTCTAAACGTAAGTGGGAAAGACTTGGGGAAAAGCAGGTTGAGTGGGAAAGGAATCTGGGAAAAATGCACTCTCCCATAGACTTCCAGGATGACTCAGATGGGAACCTTAAAGTCTGTCTTCAAGCCATCACTTGACTTTTACTTCTATGCACCCACGAGATCTCAAGTTAGATGTGAGTGGCAGGGGTGTGGCTTAGAGCACAGGCTAGTACGGCACTGGGAACACGGGTGAGATGACAGCTCATTAGACCAGCTGTCAGCTCCAGTCCAGCTGCACCAGGCATCGTGGGGAGTTGCACATTCTGACTGCTATTACTTGACTTATGGTCTCCTTTCCCTTCTGTGGAAGATGGATAAAAGGGGAGGACTGAAAACACAAAAGCCATAGCTGACCTTAATGGAGTCCATATCGCTTTCTGAAATCACAGAATCGTTAGGGCTGGAAAGGACTTCTGGAGATCATGTAGTCCAACCCCCCTGGCAAGGCAGGACCACCTAGAGCAGGTTACACAGGAACATGTCCAGGGGGTGTCTGAATGTCTCCAGAGAGGGAGACTCCACAACCTCCCTGGGCAGCCTGTTCCAGTGCTCTGCCATCTTCAACATAAAGACTGAGGACAGAGTGTAGGGAAAGAATAACGACATAAATATTCACTACATTTCAAATCTTCAGGTGTAGCTACCAATTTAGGGTGACCACACTTCTGGGTCCTAAGGTGAAAAGTTTTAAAGGCTGGATTTTTTGGAGTATCCTGAGTCACCCAACTTCTGAAAAAAAAAAGATGAATGCTTTCAAAGGCATTGCCCATAATGAGAAAAATTACAGTCACCTCTGAAAGCAGAGGCTACAATTTGCCTTTCCCGTGTGGACTTTTTAAAAGCAATAAAGCAGTAATGAAATGTCTGTGTGTATTTTCATTCTTCTGGTATTCATTCACCAGAGGCAAACACCCTTAAGGAAGCCAAACAGCTTAATACATGTTTGTAGAAGGCCAAATCAAGGGTCCATATGTTTAAATGGGATTTCATTGCTTTCTGCAGAAACTGAGAATTCACCAGTCTCCCAGCATCCACATCTTTTTGACTCTCTGATCAGAAGTCCCCTTTTTGTCCTTGAAGTCTGACTGCTGAAACAGGTCCAATTGCTAGTAGATGTTGCATTGTGTTCTGGATTGTTTTCAGCTTTGATGTGGTATTTCCAGGAAACTGTTTCACGCTGATACACTAGATGACAATTCAATCACATATCCTTATCCTACTCAACTAATCTTGTTTACTCACTCTTTTTTCTACCCTGTTAACATGTGACAATTGTATCCATTTAAGCAGCTTTCATCTGTCTAGCATGCCTTTGAACTACACTGGGAGCTGTTCTGTGCTCTTCTGCAGGCCTGTACTGGTGCCACTTCTACTCCAGTTGGACATGTTTTTTTAAGATTTGCATAACCAGGGAAGAACAGTAAAATTAAGGATCTCTGATATACTAAGCTCCTCTCTGGGCAACCTGCCCCCTTCCCTTGGGCAGATTTCCTAGAGTAAGACTTTAAAGGACTTTTAATCAGTGAAGACAGATCTTCAGATTTGAATGGATGAGGACCATTAGCATTCACCTCATTTTCTTTCTGTTCTGTCTCTTCCACTTTTGGGGCAGAAAGTCACAGGATGTAGCATCCTCAAATGACAGCTTTGACTGGGATCTTTTGTCAGTCTTCGTTTATGGCTGGGTTCAGCTTTGATCTACACCCCTCTGACAGCTTATATTGACAGAAAAGCTTTGCTTTATTTCTGAGTAAGTTAGAACTAGGTGTACAGCCCATTTCCACCCCTCACAACAAGCTACTATGAGACACTTGTAGCATCATACTGGCTTCACACAGTGCATCTGCAACACAAGTGGTTTCCTTTCCAGAGAAAAGAACAAAAACTAAGTATAGCATCTCCTGTGCTAGCCTACAGGTTCAGTGTTGTTTGCAAAAATTATGCCATGTTTGTCTCAGAGCTTCAATCACTCAACACTAAACTATCAAGAGCCAATTAAAATAGTGCTCTAGGCCTGGGAAATGAGGTGAGGTTGACAAGATAATAGGAGTGGAACAATTAGAGTCAATTAGTCCAGTGGGAAATCCATTCCCAGGCAGCTACTGGTGAGAGGCTGGGCTGGCAAGATAATGAGTCTAGACTGGATATACCAGAATGGGCAAAGCTCCATCTGCACAGAGAAGTGTCCCGTACAGGGTTTCTGACTCACTGCCACAAACAACAGTAAGTTCTGGGAGAATATCAGGCCCTACACAGCCCTACTGAGTTGTGATGGAGTGTGTGCAGCCACACACATCCAGCTGTGGTCTCTTTGTACCTGCCTCCAGTAGTATATGAGTATATACTACTATATACCAGTATATATAGTATATAGTATATAGTATATATACTATATACTCATATACTACTATATACCAGTAGTATATGAGTATACAGGGCATACACAGGGTATATGTACACCAGAAGTAGACCACACAAGAAGAACTGCTAAGACCTAGTTTTAACAGCAAGAAGTTGACAAGGCAGGGAATCAGACTGATAGGGAGCAAAAAGCTACAAAGGCAACTCCAGTAGAGTTTTTCAGCCAAGTAACTCAACTACTCTTTCATCCATCTCCTGTTGTTACTTGGTGGGAGGAGAACCAGACCTGAGGCACCAGCAATTATCCTTTTAGTGGCATGTCAATGGCAATATTCCCAGTTGCCAGAAGCTATAATAAATAAAATGAAAATACATACTGCTAAATTAGAACACACAACTATAAACAACATTTTTCTCTTTGCTGGCCAAGCTTTTGTAAGGAGCTACTCTGCTAATTGTTATCCAGTCAGGAAAGAATCAGATGCTTTTCTTCTATTTCAGAAGTAATCTCAGAGCTTTGGTTTTAAGACAAGCACATCTCACAAGTCAGCTGGGTTTGTTAACACAAATGCAGTTCTTTCAAGCTCTGAATATTCCTGAGAAGGAAGTATTTTCTCTTACCTTTTCCTATGTGTCTCCTGGTGTTCTCTATAGTTGAGTTGCGGTTTACATTTGAGAGCAGTCCCAGGCAGAACCTGTTTTTGTTATTTGAGGGATCTGTAAATCCATCTATGAGGATACTTCGAGACGAAGCTTGGAAAGTCTCCCCTACCCGGTTGTTGAGTTCATAATAGGCAACTGAGCACCAGTGTTGCGGTTCCTCATAGCAAACAGGCCGAAAGTCTGTAGGAAATAAAATTAATCAGCTGCTCAGGTCCCTATTATTTTTTAAACAATCAGTCTCTCTTTTCTTTCCTCCTTCTCTCCCTCTGCCCCATTCTCCCCCTCCCCAGCTCTTCATCTAAACAGTCACTTATCATGCTTTATCTCAACAGCAGCTTCTGCTTCTTAATTTTATGACTGAAGCCCCAAACATGCAAAGCACTGGTACACCAGCTTAACTCTAAGCCTTTGAGGAGTCCCACTTGTTCTTAAAAGTGATAATTCCACTGCATTAAATTAAGCACATGCAGACATTCCTTGCTGAACTGGAGCCTAATCTCTACACTGAAAATAGTAAGAGATATATCTGCTCTGCACACCAGCAGGAGCTAGGGATGACAGATGGGCTCAAATCAAGTCAAAACTGAGCTAAGCCTTCAGCCTAATACTAAACTCTGAAGTTCAGAAGTAATCAATCTTTCCTCCAAATTTTGCATGCTTTGGGGCATTCCACTTCCATGTGAGACCAGAAGCAGAAATGTCAGCAAGATCATTGCTTTTGGATCTTCCCCTGCATAGGTTTTCTAACTCAGAGACAGAAAAAGACTCAAAAATGTAACAGAATCTCTGAGCCACATTAGTCCTACAAGAGTTAGTGGGAAACCGTATCCTACCTGTCCAACACAGGCATGTGAGCCCCCCTGGCCCCAGAGCACCTCTAAGCACAACCTCTAACAAACGTCTAACTGATGCTCACTAGGGCAAAGATCAGGGATGATGAATTATGGTAAAGAGATTAAAGTATCTCATTAACTTATTTAAAAGTACTGATGCCTGATAACTAGTTATTATCTGCCCATTCTGTGTATTCATCTGTAATTAGCACTGTTACCCTCGTCATTCTTCAGCTCCAGTTCTGTTATACATGCATGTTCCTCACTGTTTCAGACAGCTGGCATTATTTTTTTAATGTGCATGTGTGTGCACGGTGTTCAGTCCTCACGCCACAAAGGACATCTGTTTAGCACTACAATATGCTGGACTACAAGAACAATGGTGATTTTTCCTTTGCAGTAGCAGGAAGCCAAAAGAAAACGTAGCTGAGAAACCCTTGCTGCTCTGTAGCAATGGGCTTTGAATGGTGGAGGCATGACCTGCCAGCACTAGTCTGGAAGTAACAGACCATGTTGGAGAGGTCATGAAGTCTCTTTGAGGGAAGCAAGGAAGATCCCAGACCCTTCTACTCTGATGACCCATGCCAGTAAAGCATTCTCATATGAGGACAAAGAGTTTGGCCATCCATAAAAATCTCTTTGTACTTCACTAGAACATGTCCTTTTCTAGCCAGCCAGTAATATAATATTAATACAAAGATGGTAGTAAGAAAGGTCCTAACCACAAGGCCTTAAAGTACTTGAAACCCAAAACTGAAGGTGATAAAGAAATCAGTTCTGATATTTATAGTGCTCTTGTGTTATACTGCCTCACTATCCTTGATTTGGTATCTTTGTCTTTACAACGCTGATAACAGTGTTTGCTTTCATTAACAGCTTTCCAAATGTAATTGTTCATGAATGCAAATAAGGACTAAACTCTGCAACTTCACACATAATTCACTAAATTCTTGAATTCTTGAAACCTATTTTGCTGGCTCATGGGTGGGTCTAGTACACAGCAGGACAGCGAAACTCTCTGAAACCTATTATGACAGATCACTGAACCTTCTTGTTCAAATAAAAAATTATTTGCTTAACAGTTGTTTTATTTTTTTAAGAATAATACAAATGGTTACTTACTTTCAGCTTCTCCATCAGCAGATTTGCCTCCATTGGGCAAAGACAGCACTAGTTGACTTTCAGCTATTGCATCCATTGACCGCCCATTGTGGGTTCCTGGAGGTTCTCTTGCATGGTAAGGTGGAGGTGGAGTTTCCACTGTTAGAAAGAAGGAAAGAAAAGAAAGAAAAGACACCTAAATCAATACACTGGTAAATTCTCCCTGGCTTTTCCTAGTGAATACTTAACTTCTTCAGCATTGTTTAGCTCGGAAGGGCTGGAAACAGCACAGATCTGAACCTGACCTCTTTTCAGTCTCCAGATTAAGACCATTATACGTTCAGGGAGAATGGGAAGGCAGGCTGTCAAGATGGACATGCTGCACTTCAAAGAGAGGGGGACAGTCACAACTAGTGCATCAGGCCTAGACCAGTGTCTAGTCAATCAGTGACGTTCACTGTATAAGCACTATAGCATGTAGATTTATTCATTTGAACAGAAACTCAGTGGGCTTATGTGTAAAGTATAGCCATATACAAACTTGCAGGACTGAGGGTCTTTTTAAGGAGCATTTTTAACTTGGTTCCACATCATTGAAATTTCCTCTTGTGTTCAGGGTCTGTTGGCTGGCCCTCAAAACAGAGCAACTTCACCCAGAGTGGATAATTTGGACGGTCTCATAAGACAAATGTTGAAACTTCCAAGTAAGTACTGCGCAGGAATGTCATTCTATTTAAGCATTGTTCAGGATTTAGGCATTTCATACACGGTATGATATTTCTAACATATAAGATGGCATAATCCTCCCACAGAAAATGCAACAGGCTAATCCACTAAAACAGAATCAAGAAGGAGTGGAAAAGAGTACAAGTCAGAGAAAGGAATATACTGTGGTCATACAGGTATTTTGAATGCCTACACCTAAGTCAGTAACCATACGCTTTCTTTATACTCACCAAAGAAAAAGAGGCACCTGTAGACATGGTGCATCTCAGCTACTTTAGACATATACCTTAAGATGTAATGCATCTTGTTCTAGGAGTGCTTGTTTTTCTCCACTTACCACAGAGAGAGTATAAACAATTGCATGAGATGTAGAAATGTGCACTGTTGACTTGGTCAAACCAAGCCCACTCAAGGTTCTTGATGTAACTCCAGTTTGCATTAGATAGTCTTCCATCCCTGATTGTTACACAGGCAAATTATGTTTATCAGCATGCCGTGTGCTGCGATACACTGAAGCTCAGGTTGAGCCACTTCCATTTTTAAGTAACTTCGCAAGGTCCCAAGTTCAGTTAAATGCGCTAGTCAGTCATTACATAGTTGGAATGGGCCTGATATACCTGTCAGGACCAGCTCCACTTAATCCAGCTTGATTACACAAAAGAGAAGAAAAGATGGGAGAAGACAAACAAGTCCTACTACTTGAGGAAAAGCTTCAGTGTTGCTAAACATGATTTAATCTGAAGTACAGACCTAGAGAAGAAATGAATGACAGTCCTTTCAATGAATGGAGAGGGAAGGAAAAACACTTTCAACACATCAGACTGTGTTGAAATTGTCCAGCTTAAAAGACAGTTCAAATACTAAAAACACCTTGTAAAAATAAACACCTTTATTTCTTACACTTAAAATCAAAATAGGCATATCACTAAGGACATGAATGTAAATGCTTTGTAGTCGAGACATTAAAACATTAGGCTACAAAATTCTGACCTGAATTCATCTTTGTGAAAAAGCTTAGATGATTGATTGAAACTATTTCAGAGTTACAACAAAGTGCAGAAGTGAATCTTAACTATGTTTTGATATTAAAGCCAGATCTCAGCTGTGTACATGACACCTTCTTGGTTTATTTAACAGCAAAAGCATAGTCAAATGTCAGGTAATTAGAGCAGTACTAAGTAAGGAGTTAACAATGAAAACAATCTGAGTGACATAATCCTGATGACCTCAGAACTGTGGAGATAATGAAACACATTCCAAAATTACAGGAATTTGCCTGGTGGCTTCAGCAAGTGTTGATCCTGATTGTTAAACACCTTAATTTCCTGTATAAGTTTATACAGTCAGTGGGATCACCATACATTAAAAATATTTCTACATACCAATTTCCTGATTTTATTCTGTCTTCCTTGATGGAGTTTCTAAAGGTCCCTAGCTTGACAATCCTTATTAGAGGTGCCTAACGTAGGTCTTGCAAGTGTTCTTTTCCATGGACTGTATCAGAAGCTTGCATGGCCAGCTTTAGGCACAAGGTAGCCTGGCACACATGGTCCTCTCCTCAAATTTCCCCTCACAGTAATCACGAAATCACATCCACTGGGATGACCACAACACTTAGCCCCTTAAGCACCACCCAGAAGGACTAGGAACCAGTATTAAGAGACAGTCAGAAGAAATCACATTCCAAATCCATCCTGTCCAACAGTTCAGTCTTAGCTACAGCTATAGGGGAAGCACACAGAATTGGCACCTGACTCCAGGCCACTGCAAGAAACTCAGCTGCCTCAGTCAGGATGTCTGAAAGCTCATTCTTACCTGTGAGCTGATAGGGACTTCCTGGTCCAGAAGAGCTTCCTGGTGAGTTGGGATAGCTGATGCTGTTAGGCGACTGAGAGAACATGTGGCTGGGTGATGATGGAAAAGGAGTGCATGGAGGATGCTGGAAAGAATCAGGATAGGTGGCATTGTGCGGCATCAGCGGCTCACTGTGCAGAGAAGTGTTTCGAAACTTGGCAAGGAGGCTGAGGTGAGGGTTAAACTCGCTGTGTCTTGGAACAAGTACAGGAGGTAGGACTGAAAATAAAAACGAGAACAAAAAGAAAAAAATCTGGTTAAAATTGCACTCTTGGAAGTACATCACTGTAAGTTAAAAAGAGGAATATTCTATGCTGCCCAAATATTGCTGTCTAGGTACAAGTCACCGAAGGGCAACAAACCTCTCCAAAACCAAGAATCAAAAGCAGATTCTTGGACCTTTTTTCCCAGATTTGCAGCCAGTTGCAGTAATTCCATATGCAAAATATAGACTCACTTCTGATTTGAGCAAGGTACCATGATATTCACAGGTAGGGCATGCACACACAGTCCTCTTTCAGAAATGCAAGTGGCACATTTCTCTTTCTCAGTTACCTGTTCCTTCTGTCCTGAGAGACTGAGCATGTCAGGAGTTTGCTAAATACTACCACCAAAACCACAGCCAAGTTTAATAACAATTAACAGTGCCCTGCAATACACTGTATATTTTACTACCAGTGTGTTTCACAGATGGGCAAAGGAAGCATAGACCTGGAGCTAGACATCTAATTTAAAACTTCTTCAGGTACTTGGAAAGGCTGCCAGCCAGATAGTGGGATCTTTAAAAGGAAATGTAAATGGCAATTGAAATATTGCAGCAGTACTAATTTAGTTGTTCCAATATAGTTAGAAAAGATCTAGCATGAGGAGGCAAATGTCAGTGGTTGGTAGTTAAGACATGAAAAACACAGGTCAGAAAACTGAAATAGAAATTAATACATGTAAACTTTGGTCTAATAGAAGATATCGCCTCTCTTCATAAACTCTCTTCACTTATATCTCGTGCCATCAGTGCTGTTAACAGCATTGTTGCACTGAGGAACCTAAGGTTGACCCAAATAATTTTGGATACTGACAGATGAGAGAGGGGAATTTGAGTCAAAACATTTTAGGAAACCCGACTAGTGAGTTACCTATGAAGATGCAGCCCCTAGGCTGGAACACAAAGAGGCTTGCCACTCCAAGATTTCTCTATTAGTTACTAACTCACATAATGCCTAATTATCTTAGTTAAGGCCTTAAATGTAGGTAGGGGGAATTAATCCCCAGTTGCTATTGTACATATCTAAAAGACACCTGAGAAGGAGGCAATTTGAGTTATTGTGACAAGGATGAATTGTCCCAACACCAGGAACAATTCAGAAGGCTTGGGTTGATTGACTTCATGTACAGAGTTCCTCTGGCCAAAACCCCAGCAGCACATTATCTTTCAGTCTTATCCTTACTAGCTTATGGAAACAAACAGCAGTGTGTGCTCTAGGTTATAAATGCTGTCAGAAATATATGGTTTGAAAGCGTTTTAACATACTGTTTGGTCCCAAAAGCTCTGTCTAGGTAGGTTAGCTAACATCTTTTAATTACAGCAAACTCTCATTTATCCTACATAATGAAAGAGTGGTCTAATTGCTACAAAGCAAATAATGTACAGATAATGCAAAACATGTGCATGAGAAGAGGCTGTAGGAACACCCTCATTGGAGTGCACCCTCAGCGCACACTGACTGCTCAGAGCTGGGGCAGTTTAAGCTGGAGGAGGACCAGTGCCTGGTACCAACAGGAGGTTTACAACCTCTTGTTTGATGTAGCACTATGCTGCAGCTGGGGCAGGGTTAAATCCTGCTCCTGCCTACCCACTGGCATATCCCATTTGGGAATTTGCAAGTCACTCATGAATTGAAGAACTGAGTCCTAAAAATATACAAAAGATTGGACTGATGACAGGGGTTCACTGCAAAAGTTATCTTCTTACCTGTCTGGAAATACAGGCACTGGGATACCTGTTAAGAGACTACATGTAGACCTTTATCCAGCCCAATACATTTCTAATTAGCTTCTGGCCAGCACAGCGGTGGTGCTCTGGAGACTACTTTCTTTGCTTCTGCCTCTGATATGCCCCTACCTGTGGAATGAAGAATTGCTGCCATCCTTTTAATTCCTTTGGTAGAGAAAGGTATTTCTGCTTTTTTATTGCTTCTTTAGCTTTTTGGATTTCCTAGACTCTCCAGGTAGGACTCACATGTATTCACACATGAGATGAACTGCCCAGTCCTCCATGGATCTCTTCATAGCCAATGGAGAGAAACAGACTTTTACTGCTCAGTTAATCTGCTCTATATTGGGACAAGACAGCTACCACCACTGCAGATGTGGTTTTTGTGAGCTGGATCCCTCCCATCCCACGCTCCTGTGAGCAGCTCCAGGCTGTGAGCTGCTGCTTCTGGAGTTTTCCTCTGCTACTCCACAAAACTGGTATGATGCTTGCCAGACCAGCTGCTGCTCAGCCAGCTCTGACCAGCAGCCTTAGAAACAGGGAACTGGTGATCCCTTTGCACTCAGCAGAGGTGCTGTGCATGGGATAGCTGTGCTACAGCAATGCTGTGCAGCACTGTGAGGTTGGCACCCCGCTGTGGGTACCACAGCTAAGGAAGTGGCTTTCCTCAGCCATGTGAGAACTCAATGCAACTTCTCTAAATACAAGCTGAGAATCTGAATGTGTGAACAGCACTTGTCAGGGAAAGCCTTTGACGTGCCCTGAGTGAGTCAGCAAGAGGAATTTTCAAGCTTTGAACTTCTTCCCAGTTCTGACCAGGGTAGTCTTAATTTCTGCTCTCCTGTACAGTTTTTGCCACCAATCTTTCCAGTGACTGCTCTGTGGCTGCCTAGAGGGCTAAAGCCTCTGCAGTGGGTAAGAAATTCAGATATTTTCTTGTTTGTGGATAAAAATTCCCCCGAGGGCCTTGTTCTCTTTGTTCTTTTGGTAACAGATGTCACCTTCCAGGGCTCACCACTCTGAAGGAAGTGTGACCAGAGGCACGAAACTGAGTGACTGAGTGCACTGGGACCTGCTTGTCCTCACAATTTAACTGTGTTGTGTCCACTCAGTGGGGACCTTTTTTTCTACTTGCTATTCTCCATAGAGAGCCAGGGTTGGATGCTTCCTTCTATGCATGCTCAAGTGTTGATAATCTTTGTTCAATTGAAGGTAAATACTGTCATGTCTCAAGTCCTGCCACTGCCTTTCTTGCACCAGACTTTCTCCAATTCCCTTTAGTTGCAACAGTTCTTGCTGGAAACCTAGCTATGCCCAAAGCCTGTGACATAAGAACATGTCCAGGAGAGTTTTGAATGTCTCCAGAAAGAATGTCTCCACAACCTCCCTGGGCAGCCTGTTCCAGTGCTCTGCCATCCTCAGTGTGAAGTTCTTCCTCATGTTGAAGTGAAACTTCTTGTGTCCTAGTTTATGGCCACTGCTCCTTGTCCTGTGCTGGGCACCACTAAAAAGAGTCTGGCACCATCCTCCCGGCATCCACCTTTGATATTTATATGCATTAATGAGATCCCCTTTCAGACTTCTCTTTTCTAAACAGGCCCTAGATCCTAGCCTTTTCTGTGGTGATTTCACTGCTGCCACTTTCTCCCCAAGCTCATTTCTTCTCCTGTCTCACCACCACGTCTTTGCAGCACAGCTTCTAACTGCCTCTGGCCTGGAGCTGCAATACTGACATTTGCAGTGGTGTAAGTTATCTCTCCTGCTGCTGCTCCAGCACACCTGAATAGGTTGTGCTTTCTTGCTGTACCTCATCTTTAGTAGGAAGGTGAGCTTCAGCTTCTAAGCTGTCCCCATAAGAGCAGTTGGGGTGAATACAACAGCCCAAGAACAGTCTCAGGGTCCTATGGACAACTGGCACAGCACAGCTTGCATCCTCGCAGCTGTGCTCTCTTTCACCTCCAAAAAAAAAGGTGGTCACATCCAAAGTACCCAAAGTCTCCTTTGGGTGAACCCCTGTGCCCTGAGAACTGCTAGTACATGTGAGTCCATATGGGTTAAAGCTGTGCCTGGGACCACACCAACAATTCAGCAATACTCAGACCTGCACCTTGGTCCCATCTCATTTACTACTAGAGATATAGCTGTCTGTAGCACAGACAAATGACAGAGACATGCTCACAGCTGAAACCTTCTGAGTTTCAGGGTCACAACAACAAGCTTTGGCAGCCATTTAGTGCCTGCTGGATTATCCCAGTACTAGCATTTGTTAGTTGTCACTGAACAGATCAGAAGGCCAGGGTTGAAAACAGCCCTGCACAGTGCTGTCAGCTACTGTGCTGAGGAATCTCCATTAACAACACTGGAATTATAGCCTTCAAAGAGAAAGATACACAAAATGAGGTATTTTATGTGCATCTTTTCTTAGATTTTTTAAGAGTTTATTTTAGCAAGGCAGGAGATCAGCTTTTTCCACTGAAAACTGTTGACAACTCACTGCAGCTGCAAATTTTTAGTTGTGACAATGTTTACAGCAGTTCAGATACAACTTCAAAATGACAGCTCTACTGCCATGGAGGGACTATCAGAAAAAGGAGTAGCCCGTGTTGTTGAACAAATGTTAACAAATGTCCTTCCCTTATTTCATATGTGTGAAAAGAAACATCCCACAGTTCACTTATCTGCTCCTAATGTCACCTCAGAGTAAAGTTCATGCCAGACTAAGAATAATCACAGAATAATAAGTATACACTTACCAACCATATCCATTAGTAAATTAAATTACTGTGATTTTTGGCAGCAAGGGTGACTTAGGTTAGACATTAGAAATCATTCTGGACTGTAAGGATAGCAAAGCAATAGATTCACTTGCCTGGCGAGGTTGTGGAGCTTCTACCACATGGGATTTTAGAGCTCATTAGGAAAAGATCTGTCAGGAATGTACCTGGTAATTAGTTTTGGTTTGGGAGTAGGGACAGAGGAGAAGAGGATGATTGCTCAAGATCTCTGCCAGCCTGCTTTCCAAGATCCCTATAGAAGTTAACACTAAACACCATTATTTTTTAATAGCTGTTTCACTGACACAAAGCCCAGTTAAATGACCCTTCAAGTGAGGTCGTAAGTTTTCAGTGCTGACCATGTCCAATCTAAAGAGGTTCATCGGTGGAAAAATTCAAAGTTTTATGTGAACTTGGGGCATTTCACACAAACTACACATTTAGGTAAGTAAATCCCACTGAAGGCAGGCCACCAGGCATTTTAGGAAGAATCAACTGATCTGGTTTCATATCCACGCAAAATAAGTCATTTTACTGCAACTGTAATATTTAAAGAGAGAGATAGTGATACATTTTTCATGTGGATTAATGAGTCGATTGCTGGGTTTCAAACAATGAGACATAAATCTAGCTAGGATGCTAAATCTAACCCACAATTCATGCAAGCGGACACCAGTTTGCAGGGGGAGGACTCAGAGGGCAGCCAGCACCTGGGTCCATGGAAAAGAACCTTTCAGCACCCTGGACAAGATCCAGGCGTCCTCGGGGGTCCAACTGGATACCGACCCGCTGGGCAAGGTGCTCTTTACTCCCCACTTACTTGTGACTGCCACAGCTGTGATGGTAAAGGTAACCACCAGGCAGGTAAAGACCCAGGGTCCTTCAATCAAATGGAACCTGACTTTTCAGATTTCACAGCACAACTCAATAGGATGCACAAAGACTAGACCTGCTGCCAGTGTGAGAGCTAATAGAGAGATGTGAATCATCTGCAGATGATATAATTACCTGGGGTTTCCACCCGCCGGTAATGGTAGGGGTTAATGCACACTTCTTTCTGTTTTGAGCCAAATGGGAACTCACAACATTCCAGTGGTTTCAGCTCATGGTGAGATTGTAAATCAGGCCAGCGCCACACTCTGCAGTATATAACGTGGGGAAGACCCTTGCGGTGAGACACCTGCAGCCGACCATCCAAGGAACGTGGGATCGTGACACATTTACTGGGCTGACCAGGGCAGCTCAGAGCCCTTTCCAGTTCTTCCATGGCACCTTTTTTCTTCTTTAACTTCTTCACCAAGGAATCAACAGCTTTTTCTGCCCACTTTTCCTCTTCATCTCCTTGTTTCCAGCCCAGCAGCCTTTTCACTGCAGGGCTGGTAAAGGAGAACAAGGAACTGATAGGGGTGCTGGAGTGCATAAGAATCAGAGATTACACACGAGCGTCAACGGAAGCACAAATTGCTCTCTCGCCTTGCAAGGCTTGCACAGAGTTTCCACAATATTGAGATGGATGCTTCCTTCACAGAAAGGTTCTTCCACACATACGTTTTTGTAGTCTCAGGCACTGGTTACAAGTAGTCCACGAGGGTGGGTCTCAGAACTTTCCAAACATTAAGATACTCTGATGAAGCCTGGAATAGCAACACAACACATAGTTAGGCCTCACACACCTCTTTAATTGTTCCTTCAATAAAATCTTTTGAAAGAGGAATTCTTCATAACGTATTTAATTTTCATAGAATCATAGAACAGTTAGGGTTGGAAAGGACCTTAAGATCATTTAGTTCCAACCCCCCTGCCATGGGCAGGGACACCTCACACTAAACCATGTCAACCAAGACTCTGTCCAACCTCACCTTTCAATGGTTTTATGTTTGTTTTTGCTGTTTATTTTGGGTCCAAGCCTTTCCTCCCCATTACCCTCCACACTCATTTTAGAGTTGGACCTTGGAAAGCAGTCACTTCAATTTGTGTTTAGAGTTTAATGCACTAGGGAAATTACTGCAGGGTTGGGGTTATATTTACTATTAAAAAAGTACCTTTATTTTTTTTAAATGCTGGTAGCTGTAGGTTCGGCTCAAGCATCCTCTACAAAATTACATCTGTAAAATCAAATTTTATGCAAGTACTGAGTAGAATATTTTTCTGTTTTCAACTCTCTCTCTGCCTCTCCAATATCACTCAGCTGTCAAGAGCTGTATAATATTAACTGAAAAAATAATTTAAAATTCAACTACTCCCAGATTTCACTTAGTGCCTTTAAAGATATATCACTATTCTCTAAGCTTATTTACGTTTTCCCACATGCCAGGGAAAAGCCTTGTCTGCCTAGCCAGACTGTTCTGCTGTCTCCAACAGCACGGTTTTTTGGATGAAAATCACAAAGTTCTGGACACGGTTTGCGCTGGATGGTTCCTGTGTTATTTCTGCTAGGACTTGCTATATCTGACAAAGTCCAAAGAAAGAGTTTAGTTCTTGATGGATTTTCTTCTTATTCTTTTATTTTATTTTTTTTTAATGCAGCTTGACCCAGTCTAATTTTAGCTGAAAATGACACATTCCCACTGCCTGGAACTCTGAGGAATAACGTCTTTGTATGTCAAGCTATTTATGCTTTAACTATACTCTTTGGACCCCCTGTGCATATCAAGTCTAAAGATCTGAAATATACAAGGTCACCTAAAGCTGGAGTGTGGGCAGCTTCTGAATGGATGCCTTCCAGTAAGCAGCTCCATGACTGTTCTAGTCCACCTTTGTGGGAGGACTTAGATTCTTCTTGTCCCCCACCAGTAAAGGCCTGGACATAGTCCTCATCACTACTTATATGCAGCCACTGAGGAGACAGATATACTGCCTGGTGTTGGGAGCAGCATGACTTCACAAACCATATTATTCTACAGTTTCCTTTACGGCACAGCTCTTGTAGAATTTCACCTGTAAAGTTGCAAGAGTGGGGACACTGAGTTCAGGCACAAGTACAACATATTAAGACAGGACATCAATCCCAAAGACTGGCTCCTTGTCAGAGTTGGATACCCCAGCAGTCTGATACCCTCAGCACCACACAGCTCTGGAGCATGCTGCAGGGCAAGCACATATGGCCCATGGTATCAAACCCTCTTAGACAACGTGCAGTGTTTGCTGAGGAACAGTGACCCGCTAGAGCTGTTCTCCTCCTAGCCCTTGTTTCATTTTCATGCCCATTCATCTGCCCCACTGCATTACCCTTTAAGACATCCAGCACCCTGAGAAACACAGATACATGTATTCTAAGGAGCTTTTCCCTTATTTCATGAGAGCAGCAGTGATGAGGGCAGGGGCTCAAATTCCTCAAAGCCTTCCAGAGAGACAGAGAGATGGCAGCACAAAGTGACTCTTTGGCACGTCACGGGCCCCTGAAGAAGCTTTATTCCACCAAGAGATTCATATTCCAAACACCAGTGAACAGGACACTACATGAAAATATGAACAGAGGGACTACAAAACTGCAAGGAAGGGCAAGTACATCTTGCTTCAGGCACCCAGCATGGCATCGAGCTCTGGCTTATGCAATTTCTATATTATCAATCTATGTGTATGTGCAGTTGTCCTCTGCTGTCAAGAGAGGCTCTTGGCAGAGCATGGCAGAAATCCCGCCACTCGCACCATTCAGCAATCAATGATCAGTTCCACAGAATAACCCAAACTTGTCCCACCATGCAAAAAGAAACTTCAGATTCCAGATTTTTCTCCCACTCTGCATTAGTAAAAATCCAATGAACTGGAGCATTTAACTGGGTAGTTACTAATGCCTCTTAGTCAAAACTGAAGTCTATTCCAAACACTTAGAAGGTACATGTAAGAATGAAGTAAGGTCAGAATGATTTATCATAGGAAAAAAAACCTCAAGCTGCTGGTAAAACATAACACGGATAGAATTTAGGCAGGCAGTATCCAGCCTTTGTGGGAGCAGGCTTAGCCTACAAAGCCCACTGCCAGCCTCATCTAGGCATTCTGTGAAGTGGAGGTGTCTGTCACTCACTACCTGGTGAGAACCTGTGGAGGATCCACCACAGCACTGCTGTCATTGCTCAGCAGCACCAAACCCCATCCTCATGCAAGAAATGAAATAATGCTGGGATCTCTGTGGATCAGCCCTGAAAGCAGCAACAGGAAGTGAGGAGAGCCTGGGATGAAAGCCCATGGGACCACTAGTGGTGCAAAAGTCTCTGCTCCAGGCTGAGAAGGAAAATGGCTCACACTTCTTATCTGAGGGGTCTCCCAGGCATTACTGTGTGTAAACAACTGCTCCTGATAAGTTAATGCAACACTGCAATCATCAGATATGAAAACATACATGTTCACGTAAAAGTATTGTCCGGAGATTTTCTTTTCCATTTTGACCAAGGTTTTAAATAAACACATTAATCTCATTCAGTCAAATTAAATAACTCAGCAGTGACATCAGTATGAGTCTGAGCACTATTGTTGCTAGTGGGAGAGTCGCCAGGACTATGTGTATAAAAGCAACAGCCATGCTTTGCAGACCATGTGATGTGGTCTCAGATAAATACGCTGCACAATTTCCTACTATGCTCTCCCCAGTTTCTTCTTTTCTTCCCCAAATTCAACCAACATACAAAATATAAATACTATTAAATAAACAGCTTCCAAATAATATTATTATCAGAACATCCTAGTTTAATGTTATTAAATTAGATAACCTGTACACTATTCAGCAAACTAAGCCCTGTGTTGCTGGGCTTAGATACTCCAATATGAAATACCTAGGCAGCTACAATGCTCAGGGCTGTAATGACAGAGATGTGAATTCATAATTTAATTTTAATAGTCTTTCAAGACAGCAGTTGCTTAAACTGTATGCCTTTTGTAACAGACAACTTGACTACTCAACTGGAAACTTCCAACATTGATGTTTCAAAGCCACATTTGATGTATTTTTTGTGCTGATGATCCATCATGTTTCTCAGTGCTCATCACTTTAGAGTGGCGGAGGGGAGGGAAGTGTTAGTTTTAATCCATACCCCCACCACAGGTATTAAGTCCTGGGCCATATCATGATGGAAGTTCCAGTCTAGTCATCTCTATCTCCCTCAGTGATAGTATGGTGTGGTATCATGATTATAAGTCAGGCATCATTCCCTCCTCTGGGACTACAAGAAAGGCTTTGTCTATCTGTCAGGTAAGGGACCAGTGAACACCAAATGTAGTCAATCTTCCATGCTGCAAGTCTTTATTCCATCACCGAGTTTAGCCTAAGGATCTTAAGAGCCAAAAGACATTACGGCACAGACCCACCCTTTCATTTCTGTGGTCTGCAGGAGAAAGTGGGACTGGAAATGCTTCTGCCAAGTTCACTGGCTCCATTCTCCCTAAACAGACAGTGCCTACCTTAGCTTTGGAATGGCTTTGGTCTGTGCCAGAAGTACTCTCCCAAATAACTCTTGTGCATAGTTCAAGACTTAGTTAGCAGGGACCAGGGGCCACTTCTAATAAGAGGTGTGCACAGAGCCACTCTGTTTTGGAGGGTGAGACAGCCATTGCATGGAAGTAAGCCATCTCAGCTGGCCTCAAGGCCAAGAACAGTACTAGGCATGTTTAATTTATTAGTATGGAAGCAACATTCTAGCAGAATTTACTTGGCCATATAAATATGTCCAAATTGTTGATACTCTTATCTGTCCTACTCACCCTCAAGTCCCTGAACACCTACTTGGGAAAAACATGCATTCACATGTCATGGACCATTCCACCTAAAACTAAACATCCACAAAAAAACAGCGAGGTCAGGCACTGAAAAGAGCTAATCTTGAGTGAGATGAATCTCACCTCAAGTCTGAATGACTGCTAGGCTAACACCCAGCAAAACAGACATGAAGTGTAGAAGGGACTAGAATGCTTTCTCCTATTCCTAAGCTTGTGTTTAACCCTCCAGTGTAGAACTAGCCAGCTGTAGGTCCTCAGGTCAGCAGAAGAAATTGAATTCCTATGGGTACAGCAGGGGAATTGTACCAGTCGTCATTACATTTCATTCTGAGTTTCACGCAGAAGTCAAAAAGGAAAACCTCATTTATGCTAACAAAAGCAGGCTTAAGACACAACTGTGCAAAATCAGTGTCCAGCCTTCCCCAAAAGCACATCTGTGCACGTGTGTGTAAGAACAGGTGTATGCACATGTGTGTATTCACTGGTCTCAGAATAAAGCTCCAGTCCACTGCCTCCACCCGGATCGCCTGCCTCGGCTAACTGAGCCGTGGGAAGCATGGTTGTCAGTTTTGGAAATGGCTGACATCATCAGTCTCTGTGTCACTGCAAAAGCTCAGTAAGGCCACAGAGGGAGATTTCTCAGAGGGTCGTCTAGACATACGCTCTGGAGTTCTTGGAGATGCATGCAGCTGGGAAATGGAGTTGTGAGACATTTATAGCTGGAAGTCTGCGGCTTGGTGACTAAATCACAACAAAATTGCAAAGGAGAACATTAATTCAGTCAAACAACATGAAGAATGCTGAAAACTTGCACTTGGTTAGTTATTTTTACCTAGCACTGATTTGGTTACCTCAAAAAGAAGCATGTAAGTTTTTTCAGTGTAATCGAGTCTTGATTTGATTTCAGATGTGCCCAGCAACCAGCATGCACACAGGACTGGCAAAGAACTTCCCAGGACACATCATCACTGCAGCT